TAAACTCTTTGGAGCATGGATATGCAGTGACCCCCCCCCCCTTCTCTGAGCTGCTAGGGCCTCTCCCCTCCCCAGCCCCTGGGAAACCAGCACACACAGGACCCCTGGGGTGGATTTGAACCTAGTGTGTGTGACTGAAAAGCATATGCAACTGTTGTATTCTCAATAAATGCGGCATACTGCCTTTTCCCCTATAAAAGATCTCGTATGCTTCGTTTAAGCATCACATACTCTCCACTAGAAAAGAACTATTTTACACGATCTATTTAGACTACCATAAACTATAGGCTAGGGCAGATGTGGGCAATAAATTCTGACTGAGGGCAACTCCCAAGAATTGGGTAAGTGGTCAAGGGCTGCTCTTTCCTAGGCTAGTAATGGAGGAGGGCTGGGATGGAATTTGGGTGCAGGAAGGAGCTCTGGGTGAGGGATGGGGAGGCAGAGGCAGAATTTGGGGGCAGGAGGTAGCTGGGAGGAGGGCGGGTGCAGGGGGGTTGTGGCTTGGAGCAGGGGTGGGGTGGCTAGGAGGCGTGACGTGTCTGGGTAGTGTGCCCCAAGAGAGGAGGGGGCAGCGGGTCTCCGGGTGCTGCACCCACCTGGCCGCACCATGCCTGCAGATCCCATTGGCCAGTCTCCAGCCAATGAGAGGCTGCAAGGATGGTGCTAGGGTAGGGGGCAGAAACACATGCTGGCCCACATAGCTGGCTGCTTTGAGTGGCCTGTGGGGCCGCAGCCAGGCAAGTTCCAAAGTTTTGGTGAGCCACATGCAGTCCAGACTGTGACCACCCCTGCTCTGGCTTTCTGGTGTGAGGACACTGCTTCAGCGCAGATCTGTGCAGTTGCTCTGCTCAGCTTCTCTGAATGGGCCCATCCCCACGGCATCTGGGCACCAGCAGCAGGAGTGCTCTATCCTAGTCACGTGCAATAGGGAGCCCCGCAGCCGGGTCCCAGGGTGCCAGCACTTGCCTCTGAATTGAGCAACACTGTGGAACATGGCTGCCGCTTGCCCAGGCCTGGCACGTACCGAATTTGCCCTCCTGGCCCTAGTGCCGTAAAGCCTCAGAAGGATGCAACCCCCTGCCCGGAGCTGCAATACTAGCCCAGAGCCTGCCCCCAGTGCAGTAAACCAGCACCCTTTGAGCCCTGTTTTGCCAGCTCACTCCCTGCTAACGGGCTTGGGGCGTGAGGCAGAGACCGGGGCTCCTGTCGGCCCCTGGCACGTACCGAATTTGCCCTCCTGGCCCTAGTGCCGTAAAGCCTCAGAAGGATG